TTGATCGGAGACTACAGGCCTCCGCATCCTTCAGGGCGCCGTTCCATCCGGGCATTCTATACAGATCCTTCCCTCTTTCAGCACCCTGCAGTATTCCGACGTGGCGCAGCCATATCAGGCAACCACTATGGTTGTCAGCAGACTGACATGTAGGAAAGATAGAGAACTCGACGATCTAACACTGCTGCGAAACGCCACAACCTCGAGAGGCCTTTTCGCCAAAAAGATTTTCACGTCGCATCAGCGGCAGTCCGCTTGTGAAACAGTCATCTCAAAATGGCACAGACAGGCGGAACATATCGTAGCGAATCGGCATGGTCTTACAATATAAGCATAGGCGGTAAGCCCATACTTGGATCCCGTCCAAACAGTAAAGAACATGGTACGCCTTCCCTTCGACAGATTCACTACTCGTCCTTGACTAATACGCTGCATCAGCTCCTGATGCGAGGCCGTCGAAACCAAGCCACGACGCCGAGAAAGGAGACGAGACAAATGTTGACGAAGACTGGGAGGTTGTCGAATGGCCCATCACACAACCCACCGTAGAGCCCGTCGTGGAGCCCGTCGTAGAAAACACGGAACCAGAGGAACCAGGCTACCGTAGAGTACGCAGCCAGTTCACATTTGACGTCGGCTGGGGAAGCTGGAGAACAACTGTATTTAGATGGGATATGAACGCTAGGTTCAAAGAGTCGTGATGGGGCGTTTGGAGTTGGGCAGGAGATGGTTGTAAACGAACCATGGTACGCTGCACCAATATATACCAGATTCATCACCTTCAGACCATAGTTCAGCTCACACAGAATATGGTAATTGAGTCATTAAAGTTTTCACATATCAAAATTTGCACTCTTTTCTCGGTTTTTCCTCAAAGCTTTTACAATCTACGACTATACCTAGTTACCCCTCCGCGTAAGCCAACAATTGATCTACCATTCAGACGACTACTATCCCATTAAGTACAATTACAACAACTACCTTCGCAACGTCTCCCATCCAAGATATTTTCGCTGAAAAAACATGTACACATGGGAGCAACCCCACCAAACCCCAACCTTCAACACAATCCTTAACGACCCCGCAAAACACATCGAAAGGATCAAGATGGCTCGCCGAACTTCAACCTCATCCACATCCACATCCGCCTCAACATCAACAACAGGCTCACATCAATCTACGACTTCATCAACTTCATACCCATCACCTCCACCCTCACCTCCCTCCTCGCCTTCATCAACGTCAACGTCAACATCAACCCCCAAATGCAGCACCCCTGCATCTTCCGCACAAAGACCCAGACCAGGACTACTTCTAGACTTGGAAGGGAGGCTTTGGACGACGTACGCACGGTCCAAGGCTTTTACGAGGTTAGCGCCGCCGGTTTCGAACAGGAGTGGGTGGGAGAGCGCGTAGTAAAGGTAGTAGGATATAGAACAGGGGTGGCCGAGTTGGGGTAGAGAAGTGGTAGTATGACGGATGTGGATGATGAACTGGACGAATGAAAGGGTATATCTTGATGCAATATGTCAATCAAGATATGCAACGAGTTCAGGCCACGGCACTTTTGCAGCACAAGAGAATGCTCCAAGTGGGACGATCATTGTCATGGAAAGGTATTCATTCGCTTTTGCGCTATTCCCTTCCTTCTCTCTTCCAAGGTTCTTTTTTGACCGCCGCCAATGCAGCTACACCAGCGCCCATGACAAACCCAGCGCTTGACGCCATAACATCCCTAATCGTAACAAAAGACATGACAATATCTACACATTTTCACCGTCCATACTATCCAAGCTCAACCTCTGCTCGAACGCACAATCTACTTGGCGTTCTCAGGGCGGAGGGAGCGGACAGCCTTTCCAGCGCGCCAGATCTCCAGGTCGTCAATCTCCTTGAGCTCCTGGTTGTACTTCTCGCGGTAGTCAGGCTGGCTGTTGTACTCGAGGGAGCGCTTGGTCTCGCTGCCGTTCTCGACCGAGGTGTAGAGGTCGTCGAAGACGGGCTTGAGGGCGGCCTTGAAGCGCTTGCTCCAGTCGATGGCACCGCGGCGGGCGGTGGTGGAGCATGCGGCGTACATGTAGTCCATGCCGTTGGCGCCGATCAAGGGGTAGAGAGACTGGGTGGCCTCCTCGACGGTCTCGTTGAAGGCCTCAGAGGGGCTGTGGCCGCGCTCACGGAGAACCTCGTATTGCGCGAGGAACATGCCGTGGATTCCGCCCATCAGGCAACCACGCTCGCCGTACAGGTCGGAGTAGACCTCCTTCTCGAAGGTGGTCTCGTACATGTATCCGGAACCGACGGCTACACCGAGGGCGACGGCCTTCTCCTTGGCCTTCCCGGTGACGTCTTGGTAGACGGCGATGGACGAGTTGATACCACGGCCCTCGCGGAAGAGGGTGCGGACAGTGCGGCCGGAGCCCTTGGGGGCAACGAGGATGACGTCGATGTCGGTGGGGACTTCGACCTTGGTGAGGTCCTTGAAGACGGGGGAGAAACCGTGGGAGAAGTAGAGAGTCTGGTTTTGTTAGTTCCAACTCTTGTCGAACTGATGAGTACTGCTTACCTTGCCCTTGAGCTGGGGCTTGATGGCGGGCCAGGTCTCAGATTGAGCGGCATCTGAGAGGAGGTTCATGACAATGGTGGCCTTGCCAATAGCCTCATCGATGTCGAACAGGTTCTTTCCGGGAACCCAGCCATCGGCCTCGGCTTCCTTCCACGAAGCACCGTTCTTCCGTACACCGACAATGACATTAAGGCCGTTGTCGCGCATGTTGAGACCCTGACCGTGACCCTGGGATCCGTAGCCAATCATAGCCATGGTGTCGTTCTTGAAGTACTCAAGAAGCTTCTCCTTTGGCCAGTCATCACGCTCTGTTTGTTGTCAGCTTTGATCCCGATGCATCGAGAATGACCAAACTCACCGTAGACAGTCTCCTTGGTTCCGGCAAAGTCAATGGTCTTGACACCACGGGTCTGCTGGAACTGGCTTGTGACAGCCGCGCGGGGAGCAGCCTTCTTAGCACCAGCACTCAGAGCAGACACAAAAGTGCGCTTCTGAGCGGGAGTGGAAGCCAATTGGCGGGCGGTTTGGCGCAGAGCGCGGGTAACAGGTCTTGAGGCCATTGTGAATGTGTGTGAAAGGGGTATCTTGGGGTCAGAATTGTTTGGCGGGGATATGGGCTTTTAAACACGCTGGGCTCGATCGTCAACCCACCCAGAATTTCGAGTTGGGGAGCTTGGACCAGGCCGATTATCGCTGCCCCAGACCGACCGTTCGCGTCCTCGGCCAATCACCGCACGCCGTCAGAGTGCTAGCAGGGGGGCCGGAGGGTCGTCGGGGAGGAATGCGTGTCTCCGAGAGCGGTTCTGATGATATGAGGCATCGTTGGACCCAGTCATAGTGGATAGTGCGTGGCGGCTGATGACTTGGTGAGATTGACCGTAGTCTAAGCGGGCCTATTTACTACGAGGTAACGTTGCGCAGTACGGTTTGCGTGTAGCTCTCACAGCCTGGGTAGACGGATACAGATTCAGGATGGCGGTGACGCAATCTCCAAGCAAACATCGCAGTCACAGTAAAGTATCACGAACGGGCAAACCCATTTTTGTGCGCAAATGTGCAGTCATATTGTATGAGATCTTGAAAGACTATCTTGCGCCCGTATGATATCCATGCACCCTCTACATGATGCGCCAGACCATACATGCAGTCGCTAATGTGTTGACATGTTCACCTCCAACCTTCTCCCATGCATCAAGCCTGTCCTGTAGTGAGCTCATGGCTCGGTCTCATGTCATTGTGATGCATCCGTCCGTGGAGGGGCATTTCGAAGGACTGCTGCGTGAAAGCTTGCGTTGTTCTGATCCTATGCGATGAAGCTCATTTGAGCACGCGATCGAAGTTCTGTCCCTTGACTGTGCCGCCGCCGAGCGATGCGCGCACGTTGCGCTTGAAGCCCTCTCGGTTCTGTTTGAGGTCTTCGGCAGCCTCTTTGTTCAGCGGGTCCGACGCGTTCGGCTCGAGGAAGAGAAACTGTGATCTGTCAGCATGCCATTCCACATCTTGTAACCCTTATAACGTACCTGTAGACCAACAACGACCGCATTCAAGTTCAATACTGGTTTCCAGTCCTCTCGCAGTATGTTCAGGCAGACGTTTCCCTCGAGGTCGATGTTTGGGTGGTAGATCTTCTGTGTGCACTTGACTTTTGGCGGGTCATGGGGGAAGTTCTGGTTGATCTTAAAGTCGAATCTGAAGCGTCCACCCTTGTACATGCCCTCGTCGGGGTCGATCGTGAGTTCGAAGTTAAGGATATCGTCGGGGTTAGGGAAGTGCGTCTTCATCGTTGTGCCGAGAGATAATTCCTCAAGATCTGTGTCGCGTTAGCTTTGCGAGGGATATGGTATGTAGTCGAGAGATGCTGGTACCTTTTTGTGTTCGTAGCTGGGCTGGGGTGACCTTCTTCTTCTTGCTCGACGCAGCTTGTGCAGCCTCATCCTGCTGCTGCTGTTTCTTCTACAGGTTTGTTAGCCGTCGTGTGTTACCACGCGACACTAGAATTCCAAAGACCTACCATAGACCATATTTTCATCATCTTGGCGGTATTGTATGCGGCGTCCGGGCTATTGCCTGTATAGATATAACCGCGTTGGTGTGCTGGAATGCGCGCGCGTGAGGGTCGCGGGGCAAACGGCGAGAGGTAGAGGACTAGGTGGCGGTTGGGTGATAGGAAGAGGCTAGTAGAGAAGGCGGCGAGTGCGAGGGCCTGCGAAAGTACGAATGCCGAATAAAAGAAGGGCTAGAGATATTATACGTGAGAGTGAAGATAACCTTAGTTGGGCAGGCTGCCACGATCCTCGGGCGTCCGTGCTGCGACGTGGGGTCCAACCACGGTTTCTCGGTGATGCCCACTTTACGGCTTAGTCACCCATGGTTCTCAGCCTTCTATCCACAGACTCACGATACTCGCACGTAGAGTCGAAACATAGTCACTGCAGCCATGACAGCCCCGGTACGAGACGCGTTACAATTTCCAGCTTCTGATAGGCAGCACATGGAAGGCTACCTACCTCATGACTCGTCTACATCGCCCCGAGCTCACCAACTCGTTTCTAAGCCCTTCGTCACATTAACCTTCGCTACTTCTCTCGACAGTCAATTAGCCATCGCACCCGGTGTGCAGACAGCATTATCTGGTCCGCAATCCAAGGCCATGACTCACTTCCTGAGATCAAGGCACGATGCTATTCTGATCGGGGCCGGAACAGCTATTGCCGACAACCCATCACTAAACTGCCGAATCGAAGGCGTAGGCGGCTATGGTGGGGAAGGGCTCGTCGGACAACCAAGACCAGTTGTCGTTGATCCTCGCGGGCGCTGGCAATTTAGCGAAGAGAGCAAGGTGATGAGACTAGCCAAGGAGGGCAAGGGGAAGGCACCTTATGTTGTGACCTGCGTGGAGCCGTCCAGTAATCAACGAAAGATACTCGAAAGCGTAGGTGGCAAATTCCTGGTTCTTGGACTTTCTCCCGAAGACATTGCTGCAGCTGGTTCGACATGGCATATCATTTTGGATGCTTTGGCCCATCGAGGTATAAAGAGCGTTATGATTGAGGGCGGTGGGTTTGTCATCAATGATATACTGGGACCTGGTCCCGCGTATTCGCTGGTCGACTCGGTAATCGTTACGATTGCTCCTACCTGGCTAGGAAGAGGCGGTGTACAGGTGTGTCCGGATGGCGGCTCGGAACGATTGCCCATCACAAGATTGAAAGAAACGAGATGGATTCCGCTCGGAGAAGATATCGTGCTCTGTGGGCGACCAAACAAGGCGCTTCGGTAACATAGTAAGACATTAGATAATAGGCAAGTCCTAGCAATTCTTGGTCTAGCTTATCCATGGCAGCTCGTCCGATACTGTGCCTTGAAATAAGTCCTTGACACTGTCCTCCAAGTCTTTGAAGTGCTTGGCTGCCTTGCTGGCGTCCCATCCGCGTAGCTGTCTCTTCCCACCCAAAAGATCTCCGGTACCCATAGGGTCATTCTCCCACGCCGCATATCCGTTCTCTTCTTCCCCGCGAAGCGTGCTCTGTAATGCGTCGTTTGCCATCGGCGGATCTATGCCCTGCACCAGGATGCGCTCTTTCGGCCATCGGATAGTCGGAGCATGCAGTTCGAGAAAACGCTTCGACTTGAAAGCATGCGTGATTACCCGAATCTGTTTCGGATAGTTGCCAGTAGCCTTCCTGAAAAGGAGGATACTGAACAGCAGATTCTGGAACGAGTCGGTGGCTTGTTCTTCTAGTAATATATAGCCCTTGTTGTATAATCTGTGTACATGGTCAGAATACGGTCTCCAAGAGAGTCTCGCTGTTTGCATCTGATTCATTCGCCAGCACGTCAAATGACACGATCGGACGTTGCAATATTGTATCGGAAACATACCTATGAGTTCGTCCTCCACCCCTGTGACCTTCTGCTAACTCTTCTGCGAGCGCTGCATGGTAGTATGAGCGTGCCTCGGTTTTCAGAGACTCCGCTCGTTTAGTAGCCCCGCCACTGAGGACAAGAATGCTTGAAGGAGGATGCTCGGCGTCCGTTCCGACAGTCAAAGCATCGATACCAGCTTTGATATGGGCCAAGAACGTCTCATGCTCTCCTGGCTTGCCTGTCGCTTCGTCTGACTTTTGAAAAGGCGCCAGCAACCAATGCGGCTCGTAGTGAGGACTACACAGCGGGAAGTTGGGCTCATCTGCATTCGGAAGGAAGATGGCGTGGCAGCAAACGATGATGAGATTCTCTGCGCTGGGATAGCTTGGTGACGGTATTGCGTGATCAGGATGCACAAAGTTCGGGTTCTCAGGTGTTTGCCATTGAGTTGTATTGTCGTGACCTTCAGCTATTGGAGATGTGATTGCCGTGGATGGTGGTGAAGCGCCAGACTTCGATTTCGGCAGATCCACTAACGGTGCGGCTGAGGCCATGGCGGCTCGTACCGCTGAGTGGATATGCGGGTCGAAGAGGAACTGTGTAGAGCTTCGTAGGTGGTTAGCGAACAAGATATTCAATTGTTGTAGTTACAACTATTGCGACTAGTATTCCGATGCGGGGCAGTAGCAGCGGGTATGACGCCAGCCAAGCGGGTTAAGCAATAAGGTGTTGTTTTTCGAGCATGAGGAAGACTACACGAGTGGTGTGGATGCACATGGAGAATACAAGTTTTCGTTTTGTTGAGGCGCTGGTGACGGAAGGTGCGGCCTGCTGCTCCCCGCACGATAAGGTGCAAAAAGGCAGGAGCGTTCGCCATCTTCGCCGCCAAAGAAGCAATTTGAGGGGACGTTTCTATGTCGCTACCTGGATTGGAAGGGACTTCGCAGCCCTGGTGGTATCATGGATGTAAGAGTTGGCTGTAGCACGTGATGTGATGACTCGGGGTAGCTGCGCAGACTGTTGCTCAGCATAGGCCAGCCTGTTGTTTGCATATTGTCGTGCACATATGCAAGAAAGTCAATAACGCAGGCTTATATTCAACCAAGGATCGTGGTGGAAGATCTGACTTTCGACGTCGTCTCAAAACACATGTGGTACCGACGCCGATGCCAAGCTGTCAGCGAGATCGAGTATGTGGCGGTTGAGATGTGAGACCCGGAGAGATGAAGGGTCCTGGGTCCAGGAACAACTTTCCAACGGCGGCCCACAGCGACGGATAGGAGACTCACCACAGGCCTGGACCCTGTCACCGCACCGCCATCACGCGAACCCGGCAGCCAAACGCAGCACTGCAATAACGCTGGCAAAACGGCAGGCAAAAACGACGTGGCAAGGTTTGTAGTGGTGGCATGGGAACGGCCCTATTTAGAAATCAATCGCTCCGACTACAGGTTCGTATACAGGTCGGTAGGCTGGGTTACAGTAGCAATGCATGCAACCCTTTGCAGAGAACTAGGAGATCTCTCTGAGTGGATCCGCCTGCGGAGCAACCTTGAAAGCTGGCTGACGTCGGCCGTGCGACCCCTAGCTTGAGACAGAGACGCGCAGCCGTGCAGAAGGGGATTTTGAGCATTTCAGCCACTCGACGGCAACGGGCGTTGTATGCACGTCGTAGGAGTAGTCTGCGCAGGGCGAGTCAGGCCGTCTACATGATAGTATCATAGTATGCCGGCAATAGCGATGTTGGTAGACTTTGGTGAGGCTGAGCAAGCAAGCGGCCAGGGCCTGTCTAATTTTAGAGGTCGTGGCCGGCTAGCGCCACACTGACAGACGACGGAGACTTCATGTGCTTCGGTCGTGTGCTTCACCGCCAGCAGGTTTTGCGGTTGCCGTTGAATTCAAGTAGGAGCGATCGCCCGTTCTTTGAAGCGTCTCCACGAATGCATTCTTGTTAAAGGAGTGCCCAGCTGCATCCGAAACGCGCAGCTTACACGGCGACGACGAATAGAAGCTGGCTAAGCCGTGTTTCAGAGACGGCGGTTTTCCTAGCGCACCTTCCCCCATCCCACCACAAGGGGTATAGCGCGCGTCCCTTCAGCTTTCTCAGCCCTGAAGCGCCCCAGACATTCCATCCACCTTTATCAAGCGACACCCCGAGTTGTGCGCTGCCGCCTTTCTGACATCTCAACCGTTTATACCCCTACCGCCTATTCCTTTTTCCCTTCAACACCGCCATCTGCAGCGCCGGCCCGTGGACTGCAGCACGTCATGGCGTACAACAATAACCAAGGTTATAACCTTGGAGACCCGAACACCGGCGTAGGCGCCCCTGATGATATGGCGGAAGGCACGACATACTGACAGCGTCCGCAGTACGACCGCACCCACGATGAGGAGGAAGTAGGCCGCTCGCTGCTGCACGAGAACCCTACCGGCGCCCACCCGGACCCTTTCTACGGCAACCCTGAGGTCCGCCCGCACTCCACCTACAGCTTGACCGAGTCCTACGCGACCGACAGGCCAACACAATACCCCGGCGAGGCCCACGCTGGCACTTCCTACTCGGCGTCCGGTGGCTACGACGCGCAGGGCGACTTCGGTGCTCCCCAGCGGGCCCCATCACCATACCAGAGGAGCGAGACCAGCTCGACCGAAGCATGGAGGCAGCGACAGCAGCCCGGCGGAGGTGCCGCCGGTGGCCTCAAGCGTGGTATGACCCGTAAGGTCAAGCTTGTCCAGGGTTCCGTTCTGAGTGCCGACTACCCCGTCCCCTCTGCCATCCAGAACGCCATCCAGGCCAAGTACCGCAATGACCTCGAGAGCGGTAGCGAGGAGTTTACCCACATGCGCTGTAAGTACCACGTTCTGTATTTCCCTTTCCGGTCTGACAGCCGCTAGACACTGCTGCGACATGCGACCCCAACGACTTCACCCTCAAGAACGGTTACAATCTGCGTCCGGCCATGTACAACCGCCACACCGAGCTGCTCATTGCCATTACCTACTACAACGAAGACAAGGTTCTTACTGCCCGTACTCTGCACGGTGTCATGCAGAACATCCGCGACATTGTCAACCTGAAGAAGTCCGAGTTCTGGAACAAGGGCGGTCCGGCCTGGCAGAAGATCGTCGTGTGCTTGGTTTTCGACGGTATCGACCCCTGCGACAAGGGTACTCTCGATCTGCTCGCCACCGTCGGTATTTACCAGGACGGTGTCATGAAGAAGGACATTGACGGAAACGAGACTGTTGCCCACATCGTAAGTTTTGATCAAATTCTAGTCCACAAGTAATTCGCTAACAAGTCAGTTCGAATACACCACGCAACTTTCCGTTACGCCCAACCAGCAGCTCATTCGCCCCCACGATGACAGCGCCAGCACACTTCCCCCCGTCCAGATGATGTTCTGCTTGAAGCAGAAGAACAGCAAGAAGATCAACTCCCACAGATGGCTCTTCACTGCTATCGGTCGCATTCTGAACCCCGAAGTCTGCATTCTGCTCGATGCTGGTACAAAGCCCGGTCCCAAGTCCCTTCTCGCCCTCTGGGAAGGTTTCTACAACGACAAGGATCTCGGTGGTGCTTGCGGTGAGATTCACGCTATGTTGGGTAAGTTTTCCTCCGATTACAGCATCTCGGCCGTATGAGATATGATGCTAATAGCGAAAACAGGTAAGGGCTGGAAGAACCTCCTCAACCCCCTTGTAGCCGCCCAGAACTTCGAGTACAAGATCAGTAACATTCTCGATAAGCCGCTGGAATCCTCCTTCGGATACGTCTCTGTGTTGCCTGGTGCTTTCTCGGCTTACCGATACCGTGCTATCATGGGCAGACCGCTCGAGCAGTACTTCCACGGTGACCACACACTCGCCAAGATCCTCGGAAAGAAGGGTATCGAGGGTATGAACATTTTCAAGAAGAACATGTTCTTGGCAGAAGATCGTATTCTTTGTTTCGAGCTTGTCGCCAAGGCTGGATCCAAGTGGCATCTCACCTACATCAAGGCCTCCAAGGGTGAAACCGATGTGCCTGAGGGTGCTGCCGAGTTCATCGGTCAGCGTCGTCGTTGGTTGAACGGTTCCTTCGCTGCCGGTATTTACTCCCTGCTCCACTTCGGCCGCATGTACAAGAGTGGCCACAACCTCGTCCGCATGTTCTTCCTGCACATTCAAATGTTGTACAACGTCTTCCAGACCATCATGGCCTGGTTCTCCCTGGCTTCCTTCTGGCTTACCACCGTCGTTATCATGAGTCTTGTCGGTACCAAAACCGATACGCGAGACGCCTGGCCCTTCGGAAACACTGTCACGCCCATCTTCAACGTCATCGTCACCTATCTTTACCTCGCATTCCTGGTCCTACAGTTCATTTTGGCCTTTGGTAATCGTCCAAAGGGTTCCAAGTGGTCTTAC